TATATATATATATATATATATATTCATAGAAATTCAAAAGTAAAATTATGGTAATTATACTCCGACATTCGTACTCGAAAAGATAACATTCATCTCATATCTCTAATTCTAAACAAACAAGAAGTAATTCTTCTTTTGAATAAGTTATTACAGAAGGCAATGCTATTTATTCATATGTTTTCAAGCGCGTATTCCGCGCGGAATACCAATGAACGAACATGCGTAAAATGCATCTCATTTCATGCACTCGACGTCCACGTTTTATGATTCATTTATCGAAACTTTTCTTTTTTTTTTTTTTTTTTTTTACCAGCGAATCTTGATGAAGGAAATACACTGTATGGACGCATATTTTCTTTTGTGTTGTCAGAATTAAACGCAGTTAAATTATCAAGATACAATTGACGCAGATTAGATTTCGTTTACCGTGACCCGTATTCGCTTATCGTTCGATCCAATTTCGAAAATCGGTAACAAGCGCGAAAGTTGAATCAGATATACTCGATGATGAGGAGACCATTCGAGAATGACAAACTTCTTAGCGCAAAACTATACTTATACTTACTTTCTCTGCCAAATGCTATTAATAGTCCAACAGCTTAGAAACCGCTATTACGGTAATAGAAAATAGTAATGGCTAATCACGGTGGACCTAAGATAATAAGAATGATTACAAGCAACGTGATTGCACATAAGGACGTCTTTGCTATTTGCAAAGTAATTTGCAACCTATCAGGAGCAAAACATTTCGATCTTATCTTCTATCACATGTGATTAAAATATTATTTGTTCATTGGCAATGATTATTATTCCTTTCAGATATATTAAAATTACCATAAAGATATATATTATGTTATTTATATAAATAAATATTGTATTCATATACCAAAAACATCAACCTTGACATAAGATAACTGCAAATGTAGGACAGTTCGCAATCGACGAAGTTATCATCTAGCCTGTAATATAATTTAATTTCATGACAACTTTATAGCATCTTCGTAAAATAATTATATTTAGTTAAAAGGAATGAATAAACGCAATAATGGATCAATCTTTTAATGATTCGCTTGCGCAGAAATGTGCAAATTGCTACGCATCGACATTCCAAGTAAATGAATACCTTTATATCACCGTCTATTTTATTGTAGCAGAATTTGTATACACACGTGGAATACAAAAAAAGTTGAAGCGCATGGTGAATGCAGATTTTATTATAATTCGCATCAAAACAACAAGAGTTCTCCAAGTTCAATGTGACAAGCAAGAAGAAAAACATTTGTACACGCAAATTCTGTAAATGATTTTAAACTAAGCAGTAAAAATAATATTTGATAAATCACGATACGATAAGAATATTCTCCACTTTGACGTGAATTTGCTATCTTACGTGAAAGATTAGAAATATTGATGGATGCAAGAAAACTCTCTGTTAAACTCGACAACAATTTCTTGAAAAAAGTGAAAAGGATATTAGTTAGCGTGTTGTATATCTTTTCAAACGAAACGAATTTGATTTAATTGTAAAAAGATATACAGTACGCTAAGAATATCAAGTTTTAAAAACATCGATCATTGTATTAATTTTTGAATCAATGGATATCTAAACTTCAAATTATTATGTTCTATTTATCGAAAATTACATTAGGAAGTTTAAAAAACGTTTTTAAGAGATTGATACTGAAAACGAGTATCGTAGTGTAGATTGAACGATGTTCTTATGTTTATATAGACAATAAAGTATAGAACAATTAGAGATAAATCTGTAGATGTTTACAAGGACATTCAATATATTTTTTTCCAGGCGGTAGGGTTGGTGTATAAAAGAGCAGTAAGCATCCAGCATCATTTCATTGCGACAGTATTTGTTACCGCGAGTACAGTTCAAACTCTTTAATAAGTCCAAAAGGAAAGATGTAATTCAATCAAATGTTTGCAAATTTCGCGGTTTAATCAATCGTAGTTAAAAGTAGTGACGTACGAAAAGTTAAAAGAGGAAGTGTCGCTAATCAATTTGTTTAGAAAGTGTGAAGCTTGAAAGTAAAAATAACCGAATATATATTGTATGTGGTAACTGTTTGGCATTTAGTTTTGTAACATGAAAGTTCATATCATCGCGCGTGTGTTCACATATTTCTATTCTTTTCAGTTCTCAAAGTGAAAAATTTTCAAATATCGTAAGCAAAATGAAAATTTTATTCTTAGTTTTATTATTGATTGTTGCTGGATCTGCAGCTCCTTGGGTTGAGATTCTTTTCGGTAAACAAGCAGATTACAATTATCAACCATCGAATTATAAAAATCAACAATATAGACGACGACATGGAAAAGGAGGAAAGGAAAGATGGAAAGATATTTGCAGAACGATAAATCCGGATCCTTATGCGTTTCCGGGACGAGCTCCCTATCCTTCTGCACCAATTTGTCCTTGGTAACTAAACAAAAAAGTTAAATGGATAACGTAAATAATTAAACAACACACACAAATCCATTAAAAATATGAATTTATTGTAACAATATATCAGAGAATATGAAGATATTCACTGGTTATGAGTATTTCAGTCGGTATACAAGTTTACTATGTAATCAATTACATAAAAGTATGCAGTCGTGTTATACCTACCCAGTATAAACTATGTATCAAGGAATAAATTTGTTAATGATACCTTTCTTGTACATTAATCGTATGCTGTAGTTTTACAATCCAATATCATATCCACACGATTAATCGTTGCTATTGCATTATTTAAAACTAAATATCATTGATTTATCATCTTAATATATTACAGTACAACAAGCTCTTTCTCCTTTTTTTTCACGTAGAAAAATAAATTATTTATATTATATAAGAATCGCTGTATTAAAGTAACTTAAAATTTAAGTTCCATTTAAGAAATGCATTATATATATTATAATTATGGCTATCGATGATCTTGCACATATTATCTATGTATATATTACATATTATTATGTACAAATAAAAATCACAGAATTACTGCAGCACGTTCAATTAAATTGTTTTCCCAGAATAAGTCTGTGGTATATTAGAAAAATTTGTACACTGTATGCAGCTTTAGAACGTGAGACGATGAAAGGGAAAACAATCATTTCCAAACTTGTATTAATCCATCTGTACTACCAGTAAGAATACATGTGTTTGACATAGCTACGGCGGAAATAGTATCGTGATGTCCAAATGGTGGGGTTTCTGGACCTTGACCACCTTCTTCAGAATTTCTTATTCTAATACTGCTTCCTCCTCCAGATGATGGAGTTGGACTATCTCCAGCTAAAACTTCTTGTACGACATTGGTTCCATCAATTAAACGTTGTCTGTAAAATATCAAAATATATGCAAATCATATTGTACCAGTTATAATATATTATTTTAAATAAATTTTATCATAAACACTAACTCATACGCTAATGAATTAGGAGGAGTAACATCATTAGCAGCAGGTAATGCGACGTGCGATTCATTGGGTGTGCATAAGTCCCAGAAACGCAATCTCATATCAGTACCGCCAGCTAATAAGAAGCCTGCGTTATCAATAGATCCAGAATACATTGCACATACACTATGACCACCTTGCGAGTGACTAAGTGGAGGAGCGCTTGACGCCCAAAGAACCATTTGGCGAAAATCAGTTTCAAGATTCCACATTGAAATTTCGTTGTTTCCTTGCACAGCCGAAATAATCCATGAATGTTCTGTAGGGTGAGTAATTACTTTCCTCACTCTTGCGTCTAAAGTCAATTGAATTTTATAAAGTTTGAGGGTTATTTGATGTGTTTTATTTTCATGTGTAAATTTAGAATAATGGTAAATTTACTTGTAGGATGTTTAATACTGGTTATTGGTAATTGAAATCGCAAATCCCAACACGTATGTACACCAGAACTTGTGCCAAGAGTCAACCATTGTTGATAATTGTTTACGCAAAATGAAGTAATTACTCCATGTTTTAGGTCATTTTCTAAACGCCACGTTGTACCAGGACACCTTAAATCCCATCCTACCAACGAACCGTATAATGATGCATAAACAAGAACTGATTGTGAACCAGAATCTAAATATTGCAAATCAACTGCACATCCTTCTTCCTAAATACAGAATTCAAGACTTTAGTATTCATTCATTGTAAAATCCAAAAATAAAAAATAAATTATATATAGTCACCAAAAGATCTAATTGTCTAGTAGCAATAACACTCATTTTACTAGAATTTGGTTCTATTCGCAAAACAAATACAGTGCCTGATTGACTAGCAGAACTTGCTAATGATTGTCCCTGATCACATACAGCTAAACCAACTAGAGGACCACCTCTATGTATGTAAGTTTGCCTAAAAAAATTAAAAAATGAAATATTATTAAATTTAATGATAG